GGGGCGGCGAGGGCGACGGCTTCGCAGGCTGCGCCCGCTGCAGCAGAGCCTGCGGCCGGCCACCGCGCTGTCGGGCAGCGGCGCTACACAACGCAGGGCAACGAGGGTTCACGCGGCAGAGCCCGGGCGAGGGCAGCAGCGCAGCTACTCGCACAAGGCTAGGAAGGCTGCTGTTTAAAAAGGAAAGGAAGAAGTCTGACTCAGAAACTAAATAAAAACTAAAGAGAAGTTCAAGTGTGGCCAAAGCGTAAATCAGAAACAAAGCAGATGAAGGAAAGGATTTCTTAATGTTGGTGCTGAAAAGCTAAGTGGGGCAGACATGCTGCAACAGCTATTTTGAATGTGATAACATTGTTTTCCTTCCCCGAGAATTATTTTTAAAGCTACACATCAACGCCAGACTGCGTTATGCTAAGGGCACCTGATGTCCGCACGGTGTGCCCTCTCCTCCTTCAGGCCATCCCCACCTGGAGTCAGCAGGCCAGGAGCCAGCGGCAGCGCTCTCTCCCCTCGGCAGAGCTAGCCACAAGATTTTCCGCTCCCCAAAGCTGAAGAGGAAGCTGGCAGTTGCTAACGAACAGCCTCCAGGACGAACTAAGGACAGGCTCCTTCAGGGCGAGTGCCGAGGCGCGAGGCACAGCTTGCAAGGGTGGCAGGCGCAGAGCGGCACCGGCTCCCCGGCAGGGCTCGCGGGGCTGAGGCGCGGGACGACAAGCTGCTCAGCGAACAGCCTGCCGCTTCCCTCCCACACACCGCATAACCCAGGGAGGCAAGCTGCTCTGCCTCATTCGAAGCGGCCTCCGGAAGGTAAACGCGTGCAGGACTTCGCTTCTCAGCTCTTCTTCTGGTAAGAGTACAAGGGCATATTTCACTCAGCACAGAGCCGTTTGTGACATTCATGCATCACTGGGAAAGCACTGAGGCAATTACTAAGATCTTCTTCTACAAACTTTCTATAAACTCCAGCTCCCATTTCTTCAGAAGCAGGTCCTTCCCTTTTGAACCCAACTAGAGGGCACTAAGACAACCTGTACTTGAAGACTCCCTCTCAGAATACGACTACCACCACGTCCTTCTTTGGAGTGCAAAAGAAGTCCAAAGGCAAGTTTTACTTACCCTCAAATGAAAATAAATCTCCTATTCAGTAAGAGCGTTCTTCTGGAACCGTTATTAGGAGCTCACTGCATCAAAGCTAAGTCTGCCGTTCCTTTCCTCAGGAGCAAAAGCAGATCTCTGTACCCGGAACATTTTTGTAAACATAGTCCAAAGGATGGGTAAATACCCCTCTTCTCACAAGAGCGGATACGTGACGGAATATTCTGTTTCCATAAGTTTTATTAATGAACGAGCTCTTACGGAGGTAATTACTGCATTCTTTTTGCTGTGAAAATACAAGGTATCACTAACATAGGCTATATCCTACACATAGGATACTGCATTATCTCTAATAACGTGCATGCTCACCAATTAATAGCTGCTCTCTGACTGCCTGGTATCAGCTCTCCCTTGACCCCGCATCCCTTGCAGCCAGAGGCCACTCTGGAGTGAAGTCAGATCATTTGTGTGCTCCAGCAGTTGCCTACTGCTGCTATATTGTGCACAGAAAGCTAATTTTTGATGTCACAAGAGCCAAGGGCTGTGTTTCCTCAGTCCCAGCCATCACTGCCTGTACTGCCAGGGGTAAGATTTGTTTCTCTCTTTCCAAAGATGACCAAGGGACATGATAGCAGTCTATAAAAGAGAAGGTGTGTAGAAAATGCCTGTTTGGTCTCTCACATAAACTCAGTTTCACCCCCTATTCCTAACTCTGATTGGGTGACAGGCTTTAGCCAAACAAAAATACCTTTTCATTTAAATGATCTTCTGAGCCTCCATGGTATCCTGTGTCAACAGTATAAATGGTTTCAAAAAGAGATTAGATATGTTTTTGGAGAGTAAGTCCATCAATGGCTATTAAAACATATCAGTCCACGTGCACCATCCAGCCCAGGGATCCCTTTCAGCTGCTGCTTGCTGCAGGCAGGAGAAGGACATAGGAGGGACACTCTGTAGTGTCTGTGGGTTGTTTTCACACCCCTTCCCTGAGATCTACCACTGGCCACGGTTGGAGAAAGGGCACACATTAGTCTTTTCATCTCATGGACATTTCTATATTAATGTTCAGTCTTCCTTTCAGTACTTTTTCGTTTCAGCATCCACAGAAACTTACAGCTGTTAATGTCTCTATTTCTAGATGCAGCTCAGAGGTTTTCCATCTTCTAGATGGAATCAGGTGCAGGTGGTTGCAGAAAGTCGGTCTGCTGCATCGTGTAGGCTGCTTCTGAAAGGCGTCAGCGCCCATACTGAAACGGTCACTGAGCTGCCCATTACGGCAAACGCTATCAGTTGCACTACAGCACACTGCGATACCCAGCTGGTATCGCACTGGAGCACTTCCAGTCTAAACACACAAAACAATCAAGCACAAGAGAAAGGAAGCATTCACCACATTTAGCTACTGGAGATTTGAGGAAAAGGCAGGAAGTGGCTTGGTTGAGATCCTACTAGATAATTGTCCAGCTAGGCTGCAAAATGGACAATCATGGTTCATCTCCCCATATCACAGCATGGCCTGAGCCACAAAATCAGCCTTCTTGTATGATGGAAGTTTTTTCCAGTATTCACCCTGGTTCTGTGCTATCACTACCAAATGTAGCTACAGTGCATGCACTTTATAGCTCTAAAACAAACAGATAAACAAACAAAAAGCCCAAAAACAGAAAAAGAGAGGTGTCTAAACTCACCTCTTATAAATCAAAGGTCTTTCAGTTGCGATTCAGAATGTTCATCCCAAGAAATACAATTACCGTAACACTGAAGGTCAGGACAATGTGCTTAGGTTAGAAATACTTTCATTTTTAAGTAAGCGCAGGTAAGTAATAATGAATTGGTAGATATCAAAATAAATAGTTTTCATGTCATAGAGATTAAGGAAGTATTTCTTCTCCTCTTTCCAGACTACTCTCTCCCTCTACATCCACCCAGTAGTTACAATATCCTGCCCCTTAGAAAAAAAAGAAGAAGAAACATGAAGGGCAAAATCCTTCCTAGCCACTAGTCTATTGCTATCATTCTTACATCAGTTTCCACCTTAAGCCTGTGCAGTGATTTCCTTTTGGTCTCAAACTTTGCTTTGTTACTGGTCAGCAATACCATTCTCTTAATGATTAACTGGATAATTAGCAACAGAGTCACAGTTGAAAGTCGTAGAACGAGTCACTATCACAAAGGTCTTATTTTAAATCATGACAGCAAACAGTTACTCACAGCTTAGGTGAACACCGGTTAAGGGATAAAAGTGCATACAGTCCTTTCCTTCAAATCACAAAAAAAAAAGCCTTAATCAGCTTTGCTACTTAAAAACCAGTCTTCCAGGGAGGAGGCAGCAAGAGATTAAAGCATACCTAAAAATCCACATAACAACTCTAAGGATAATAATCTGGTAATATACACTGCAGGATCTCAAGGGCATCTTAATGCTACACACATTCATGGACATAGATTCTAAATGAGACCAGACAACGTCAAACAAGATGCACCAAGCAGCCTTGGAAAACAAAATATATATAGTGGCTATGTAATATGAAACATCTGATAAACTCTTTCAACAGAAGAAATCACAAATCTATTAAAGCAACTATGTTCATCAACAGCTATTTACTGATGGCCTATAGCTCCTTCATTGTGGCTGTCCAGCACCAAGCACAATGGGGTCATCGTCCATATTTGATTCCTAGGTGTTAGGAGACAATAGAGTTGTTTTTTAACAAACACTTTAAAAGGGAGGTAGACATTTCTTGTCATAGATTTTATTTATTATGTCTTCAAAACATACAAAATAGCACCTTCCTGGAAACATTTAAATTTTATCTGCCATGGGCAAAACAGTAGTTACATGAGCCTTGTTTTAGTTGCAACTCCCATATCGTGGTGTTTCAAACCATTATACTGCTCATGTTTCTCATTTTCTGTTTCAGTGCAATGATGGAGCGTGGATAAAAACTCTAAACGCTACGCAAGGCAATTTGCTTTGCTCAACTGCCTTCTGGTCCTGCATGTCTGGAGGTGGTATATGTCTGTGCCAATGGCTTGCAGGCTGTTCTGAGATACGATGGACACATTGCTCATCCCAAGAGCTATTTTTCTTCCTACAGTTCTGCATGTCCAACCTGCACATCTCATCTTTCCTTTAATCTTAGTACTGGGCTGGAAACATTTAAATGTTTAAACATTTAAAACAATTCTGTCACTTGTTTTAACTCCAAACACATCCCATGCAGCTCTCAGCAGACGGGTCGGCCACTTTATCAGTTCACTGGAGGTTATCACTCGGCAGCCACCTCCTCTCTTCACATGCTCTGGTGGTCTGAGAGCACACTGACGGCTTGGCTAGTGCTTCCTTGCTCTCCCCCAGCCTCTTCAGACTCCAGAAACATGCTGTCGGGAGTATATGGCTCTGCAGTCACACACATAGCCCAACTGAGACATTTTGGCAGCTGGGGACACTAAATGCTAATTTAATGCCCTTTCTTCTCCTCTTCGTGAATAGCTCCGGGATGGGAGATTCCTCTCCTTGCCAATTCCTAGGCTGTTGGAGCAATAAGGTGGCAGGCAGCCTCTTTCCCGACTGATTATCGCTGCTGCTTGCCCAGCTCTATTATTTGGTATGCTTCACACATAACCCTCTGATCTGGCAGCGGTCCTGAGCACAAGCTAATTTACACCTTCAGTATAATGGCTTCTGTGTCTTCTGCTACTGGGGACTGACTATACCACATGCAACTGGAACCAAAGTCCAGCAAGCCAACGTCTGCCATCATCCTGTAAAAAGAACAAAAAAACAGGGAAGAGAAAGAGATCACTTAAAGTTTTACATAGCTGGTCATAGGTTTCCAGGTCTTCCTGAGTCCACTACAGTCTCCTCGCTATTAAATACTTCTCTCCTGCATGCCACTGAAAGAAACCCTGGGGAGAGGAGAAGTATCAGACACAAGAGCTACAGCAGCTTAAGAAAAATCCTAATATTCTGCTTTGGATGTTAAAATTTCTCCCCTCTTTAGAAATAGTGTGCACGCTCCGTATCGAAAGACAAATCCATGCTCCGCTCTGTCACTCCAGAACCACTAGTGCAACGTGCATGAAGATGGGAACTTAGCCTAGCATCCAGATCTTGCAGAAAACCCTTACAGCTGAAATCTGCAGCAATTTGTCTTCCCAAGTCACAGGGAAAAGCAGGGGGGAAAAAGGCCAATTCCACTTTTTCCCTGCCTCCTCCTCCTCCTCAAAAATGTTGCAACACATTTCTCACACCTTAAGTCATTCGCCGCAGGCCACACAATTGCTTCACCCTGCGTATTGGACACACCTTAAGGCTTATGCAACGCGATGCCGTGTCTGCCAACAGTATGTGAAAATACAGCGCTTAAGGGCACCTAGGCTGTCACTTCGCTCTCACTTTAAGCCACAATGCTGTATGTACAGTTCATCACAAACTTATGGCAGCACGCGAAGGGCTCAGCAGAGCAGCAAGAGGAGCAACTGGGGCTGGCAGGACCACTCCTGTCAGCCACGGTGCCAAGCTACACTGGGGTGTTAGCACGCGAGGATAAACTGAGCAGGAGAGGAACAGAAAATAGCTGTTTTATCTAATCTCACATCACCTGACTTCCTTTAGGGAATTATTAAAACTCTCTCAACAGGCTGTACAAGACCAGAGGAGCAGATGTGCTAATCGAAGCTGTCTCTCCCCAGTGACAGGATGAGCAGCAATGTTGCTGGGGGGGTTATTCATCACAAACTCCAGTCACTGCAGAGAGCCTGGGCTGGAGCACCCAGGTCATGGCTGGGTCTACCTGCCTTTCCCCGCGCCACCCCACCCCATGCAGGAATG